GTCTATATATAAATTCTAAATACACAATTTTAGATTATTCATCCTTTTTTCTGGTCATAATCTTAATTAAGCGCATGGTTCTATAAAAGTTTTTGTTTTACCATAACACTGTTGCACAAAGCTTTTACATTTTTCATGTGCGAAGCAAAATTATCTCATCTCGCATTCGCGCACTTGCATTTTTGCCAGTGTGAGTTCGTAAGTGATGGATTAACGTGCGGAATTCCCCGTTGCATCGTGTTTTATCCCTACAAACAACAGCCTTTTCCCTCCTCTCGCTCTGCCTACTTCTCCGCATGAAAATCTCGAGCCCTTCCAGCCTACCTGCTACATTCTCATGCGGCTGATTATTATATCCCGCGTTATACGTGCGTTAAGATCCCTATTTTGTTGTTCCCACACGGAATTTATCACTTTGAGTCTACGTCGTCGCTATGTCAACAGGTGGTACTCATCATTTTACACCGACGTACGAAGTATGTACCAGGTATATACGGGCGTGATAAAGAATATATTATCCAAAGATATCGGCCTATCAACCTACGACATTTACGATCACGTTCGCAATCTTAGTTTCGATCCTAAAGAGATGTTTACGACACTTTTACATTTGCTAATCTTAATATTTAAATAAATAACTATTCTGCGTAAACGCTAAATAAAATAACTTTTTTATAATATTATTATAACATAATATCCAGTCTGTTGCTGAGAAATTTAACTAACAATGTAACTTTAAACCTTCAATAACGCAATACAATATAAATGCGTCACAATTACGTAACATAACAATAATATTATTTTATATGCAATATTATTATGCTATTGTATATATTATATTTCATTATCGACATTAATAATTAAAGTTTATATTCATGTTCAATATTAGAGTTTATATCATATTAAAAAATCGAGGCTTAATCCAAGGCTAGTATTTCCGCGTTCGCTCATAATTATTTCGATTATGCTTCTTGCACTTGTCTGCAGTTTTCGCATATCACAAAGGATTGCGGGTTTTTTTTTTTTTTTTTTTTTGAACGCGAAATTCTACGGGAGATCTCATCCCGATTTCATTATCGGTAAGTCGCCGGGATCTAATTATTGCCGACCGGCGTTATGCATCCACAACGAAGGATAATTATTTTAATTATCCCTTGCGCTCTTGACGACAAACGAGCTGCATCCTTACGGTGGTGCGGACAACGTTTCTTCCTTCCTCTCCGCCGCTTTTCTTTCGTTAAGTGGTATTTCCGCCTCTCAGCCCCTTCCTCCCGACGTTCTCTCACTATCCTTACGCTTCGCATAATCCATCGCTCCGGGTTAAAATCTAAAATCCACAAGCGCGCTCCATCTCTCCCTTTCTCTCACTCTCAGAGATATGTTTCGCTCTTCGGATATATATCCCTTCTTCCAGTTTCTCTTCTCGTTTTTCCCTTCATGTATCCTCGCGTCGACAAAGTACGAGGTTTTACCGGCGTTTATACGTTAACTCTGTCATTTGCAAGAACGACAGACAAAAATGCCTTCGCGGCGTACATTTCAAAGACCCGTAGCGTCCGTCAATCTCTTGCCATCACGGATGCACGCAACCTATTCACTTTCTCATGCTCTTACGCGTCTCTCCGCCTCTCATCCTGTCTACTCTTCTTTTGTAAAAAATATTCTTCTCCTTCTCGCATGCGCGCGCGCGCGCGCGCTCCATCCCTCTTTGTTTCTCGCGTTATAGCTTCGCGGCTAAGATGAAAAAAATGAGGGGGCGGAATGAAATGGCAGGGGGAGATGCGAAGGAGTGGCGAGAAGAGAGCGGAAGCACCGCGTTCGCGAAAGCTTATTTCTCCACGCTCCTTCGGCAAGAACGGATAGGTCTCCTTTATCACGCTCGCAATATACACCACCAAGGTACATAGCTGCCGCTCGCAAAGGTATCCCGGATACGAAGCACGCTGCTTTTAGAAATATCGTCCCCGCTAAGCAACGACGACGCCGACGACGACGCCGACGGCGTTGACGGCGGGCGGCGGCGACGGCGGTCGACGACGCTCGACGACGCTCGACGGGCGGTCGTCGCGACGCTTTTTCTCGCTCCGTCATATTGTTTCGCCGCGATATAAGCGCCGAGGGTAAACGCGCCCGTCAAACCGCGACTGTCTACCCCTATTTTTTTCTTACATCCCTTATTTTATATACTTGGCCGTATTCCTACTGTTCTTCCCATTTAGCACCGAGTCGCATCAAGTGGCACGATTCTAACTTTACGAATGCAATTTGCGAGTTACTTTTACTACGATGAAATCTTACGCTCGGTTACCTAGAATTTATGCTCCTACTAGTCGCAGGTTCGCGATGTAAGGCATAAAGATCTTATCTCTGGAAGCACGTCTTTAAATATGGTTGAAGAAAGAATTATCGGTGGTGTATAAACGATATTTTTCATTTCGTTCGAGTTTGCCGAATAATGAAACGAGAACCGTATGTGTCTTCTCTCATTACGGTGATATTGATTAAATATAGTAATGATAGAATATCAGATCGTCTTGCTATACACTTTGTGCTGACATATCGATCATACGATGAGAAAAATTGATAACTATCGGGTCAGTTTCACAATAGAGAGAAAATTCAATGTATGGACAGATTTGCTAAAAGCAATAGTCGGTTCATGATTTCGTATGAATGAATATATGAAAGGATATATTATACAAATGTCATTTGAATTCGGTTGTTATTCGTGCTGTGATTTTACTGAGCTCGCTATATTATTCGTAGAATTATAAGCAAACCGAGAAACATTTCTCTATAAGGAAGAATCTTTAATTGATATAAAAATGTCTCGATCGTAATATATTCTAAATTAATAAACATTTTTAATTTAAATCGTATAATTTTAACACGCTCGTCACGCATCCACTCGAATGAATGGTCGTAAAAAAATCGTAATCATAGTTTTATATATAGCTGATGTCTCCTCCGAGACGCCATTCCGACCCTATACGTAGATGACCTTTGACCTCGCGCAAAAATATTCACCGGGTCCGTTTGTGAAGGATTCCTTAACGGTATTGTCGGTGACGGGGGAGTGAAAAGGAGGGGGAGAGGCACACCATTTTCAGCACGTTTGTCCTCGCATAGAAACACCCTTTTACGATTCCGTCGCCAAGCTCTGCGAATCACTCTCGGGAATTCAGGTTTTATAGACCTTTTGCTGCACGAGCGAAGCCGCTCTGACCAGAAAATTACGCGGCACTGTGTTCCGCCACGTACAAATGGAATCTTTAACGAAACGATTTAAGCAGTCGCAGATTTTCCTACACGGTATATGCTCAGCCGTCACGCGAATCATATTTATGGTTGACCTATTCGCCACTCGCTACATGTATATGATTTCCATTTTTCCGCGTTTTCTCTTTTCGATGGTCTCTAGAAGAGAAGGCGAAACAAAAATTAAATTGCATGAGATTCAGAATTCGTCATATATGTGACGAGGTTCCCGAGCGTTTTTCCGTTCGCCCTTCACATGGTACCAGACACTTCGTAAGGATAGCGAAATAATTGAAAGACTCGAACACGCAGCAACAGCGGCGGCGCGCGAAATAATTCCGAGTCGCCGTAAGAAAGAAAATTAGATTCGCACCCTTTCCCCTTCTGCTCCCAAACAGAAGTTAGAAGACGAAAATGGAAAAAGCTGGTTCTGAAAGCTTTCGGATGTAGCTGTTTAAAGCGCGTCCCCGCTTTATATACCGATTCACGGGACGCAAATCCGCTTGCACAAATCGGGCCATTGGCTTATAGTTTCTTTTTCTCCTCTTCCTCATTTCCATCTGTTTCTGTACACACAAGGCATTAGAAATCAATATAATCAATCGTGCTTATTAAACTCATAGCTTGCCTTAATTCATCTTTCATTTTCGATACATATTTGCAATTGAATTAAGATTAAGATTTAATTATATTAATAAATCATAACTCGAGTTACACATATTGATAAAAGATATATTAATATTCTATGTTTTTTATTTTATACTTAACATTTCATAACGGCTACACGATCAAATTCATAAAATGTTATTTCAATTTTGAATTAATAAAATGTGTTAAGATATTTAATAAATATTTTTGATTGAGAAAATATAGAGAGAAAGAAATTTTAAGAGAAACAACTGTAATTACAAAATATCATGAAAATTTTTATCGGATATTATATGAATTTTTCAATTTTACTATACGGGATAATATTATTTTATGTTTACGCGAACACACATATTCATATAACACAATTTTTATAGTTATTGTAGCAGATACAACAAATACTGTGGCTATTTAAAATTACAATCTTTATGTAATCTACTTGAGATTATTCTTGCCTGATTGTGAATCAAATCGATTAATCAATCGATCGCTTTTGTTGTATACTATCACATTCTTGATAATTTTTGTCCGATTTGTACCATCACTATTTTGATAAATATCACGCTTAAAATATCAAAACGAATTTATTTAATTCAAATAACTTCGTTCCGATGCAAGTTATTAGATTCCATATTGATAGATGAATTCCTTTCAGTTTATCTCATCTATTCGATATCGTCAGTATTAAGCACCACTTTTAATTTCCTCTCTCTTCACAGTTCCCGATGTAATACGAGAGAATTTTATACATATATATATATATAACATTGAGAAGCTTAAGTCTAACGTAATCGATATTTTGACAGATAAAAGCGAATGTTTATTAAGACAACATTTTTAGAGAAATCCTGACTAAATCTAATTTATTACTATACCAATTTATTATTATACCAATATATTAATTATGCACATATGATGATCCTAGGCGTATTTGTACTTGATGAAATTCTTAATATAGTTTATAACTTTCTTTTCATTTCGAGAAATTGTTGCTAATGAAAAAATTAGTATCCACTTAAAAGATTCATAAGGAGTTAAGGTAAGATTTATACAGCGTCTACTAATCTATACTTTTGGCATTTAAATGTATACAGGGCAGCAGTAACTGCCGTATCTTGGCACCCGCATGGCACATACCTAGCATCTGTCGATCGCGCCAAAACGGTGACAGTTTGGGGCGACCACGTTTGACAGGAGGAGTGATCCCGGGACAGACGATTATTGTTTCACGCATGAAGATCTCGTGTTCCGTTCTCGAGTTTCTCGCAGCCGTGAACACGAAGTGACCGCGCCCGCGCTCGCGATTCGCGTCAGCAATGCACCGAGAGAATTACCCAGTGAATAACCAGCAGGAGGATAATCAAAATCGTTGGTCGATTTGGCCGCGCGGGTTGTAAAAGCCTTGTCAAAAGGATGCCATTTCGAGACTGTAAAGCGCAGACACCACACTGAACAAATCCAGGAGCGATAGAGACTATTGTACATAAAAATGCACTTATTGTTACTCCCAGGTTGTATAAAAAATTCCTTTTTTAGAATAGTGAAACGCCGCATCGCGCCCACAAGAAATTTAAGAGATTATCGTAGTTACTGGTGTTTCGAGATTCGCTAGGTATACGCTTTTCTTTGCTAACTCTGAAAGTACAGTCGCCTATCAATCGTCTGTACCGGAAAATTCGGTCGCTCTCGGGGTTGAAAGTCTACATGTAACATTCATGGTGTACGGTAGAACGTTTTCTTGCACGAATGGAATCTTAACCCATTATAAAATATAGGCTCCCTAAAATAATTTTTTTTCCTTTGTTTAACACGAGGTCAATTATTGAAATATTTCCTAGCAGAGAACTGGATGTTCAACATTCGAGCACGATAAATGATATTTTTTGAAATATGAGATAAGGAAATATGTAGACTTTAATTTAAACGCGCTAAATTTGAATGAGATTATTTCCTCAGAATTAATTAGCAAAAACAAATCAATTATCAGAAACAAATTAAGAACTGTTTGATGTCTACAGAAACACTCATTGTTAGTTTTAGTTATATATTATTTTCCTTGCGTATTAAAAATTACTTTATAAAGATAGATCAAATAATATAATCATTCTAAGTACTTTGTTCCTATAATTTGTAAGATTAATTCTACTGGAATAATCTCACTCTAACTTACACAAGATCACTTTTACAATTCGATTTGTCATTACATTTTTCAACATCAGTGAAACTCGTACGTCTTAATACAAGTCTGATAGAATGGACATCAGAAATATACGAATTGAATAAACAAGGCACAATAATTGTACGATATTGATATTATACTAACTAATTAAGTTATACATGATTTACACAATTTAATTAATAATTTTCACTGATAAATGCGATTATTAAAATTATTTACGTATAGTTTTTAAAATAAGCTAATATTAAGTCTTAGAGAGGATTATAACCATTTGATTGAACGAGCTCCATCAATGTAAACTAAAACGGATTCCTACAATTATAATAGTGTGCTAAGTTTTTAGCATTTTTGACAATCATATATATTTTTTATTATTGTATCACGCATATAATAATATTTTATTATGTCCAGTCAAAGGAATAATGTGCAGCTATCCAATTTTATATTTATTATCACATAGATATTTCTATCTCACAATACTTTTTTGTTGTTTTACCTTTTAACGGAGCTCTTCGGTCAATGTATTTCGTATTTATTATGAAAATATATTTGTATAAAATCCTAGTATTTAAAAAAAAAAAAAACAACGCAATTTTGTTCTCAAATTTATATATCGTTTTGTGAATCGATTATAAAATAATTATTTACGTAAAATTATATGTGTGTATATATATATAAAATTAAACCATTTTATATGCAATACTTATTTGCGAATCGCTAGAAGCAATTTACTTTCAATTATTAAATAAATTATTAATAAAATTATTAAATTATTAAATTGGCCATTGATTCATAAAGTATGTTTATATATATTTTGACATAAATATTTTTTTATTATCTGAGGATCTTGGCTATAGATTTTTGGAGAAAAAACGGATACACAAATTATTTTCCAATAACAACTAATAATATGTTTTCGTGATTAATACGATAATAATTATCAACTCGCGTTTCGACAAGTACATGCGTTAACAAACAAATAATTGCGTCCAAAGTATTGTGTAATAATTTTAATACTGTATGCTTATATCTCATTTTGATTTGACTTTTAAGCCATATATATCCTACTTTTTTTCCTCTCTATACAACTACAATCTTAACAGAAAGGTTATATACATTGTTCACATATGTAAATATATATTAAACGTTTCCCTCTTGTATTTTGTAAAAATGCGACTTGTTCTTTAAATCCCTATAATAATTATCCCAACAAATATTTTGATTCGTAATAAATTCTGTTAATTTTTACTCTCGTATATTTCACCAATCCATAAACACTTCTTGATGGCAGCACAATATATTAACGAAGGTAAGTACTGAATAAAAGTAATAATTCGATATCTTCATTTAAGATAGAATTATAAATGTGTCATGTAAATATATATAAAAGTAAAATTTAAAGCATCATAGAAACTACTCGTTCACCATTTGTTTTAACAATAAGGTAACGCACTTAGAATTAATTTTCAATATAGTTGCAAAATTGTCATTAATTCTCTATGTGAATAATTCCATTTCGACTTTTTACACTCTCTGTTACTTTTCATTCGAAACAACTGGACTTACTCCATACCGTACCCTAATTCCGATTTTCGCTTCTACCATCTCTTCGACAAACGACGTGGTATGTCTGACACACACCCTGCACGTACGCATATATGTACATACATACATATATGTATACGTATACGCGTATGTGTATCACGAGATCCCCTCATAGGAGCTCGCCGCGGCATTGCACAGCAACCGTGTACCTGACAGTACCTAACGTGCTTTCGAAAGCGCTCATTAGTCACTGAAATGCGGTCACGAAGTGACAACTCGCACGTGGAATATTATACGCTCCAAGAACTTGCATCGGTACTCATATCGAGGCTCGCGTCCGCGTGCTCGCGCCAACACGTCTATTTCTCCTCTCTCTCTCTCTCTCTCTCTCTCTCTCTTTCTCATTCTCCCTCCCTTCTTCTCTCCGTTTGTAACTTTCGTATTATACACCCTTTGTCCGCGATTCGACAGTTTCGACAGTTTTGCAATGGAACGTGAGAACGCGGCAACCCGCTCGGCCGTTCGAGAGAAGCCGCTTGCAAACGACGTTAAAGTTCGATCGGCCGGTCGCATCTGGGACCGCCAAAAATTTTTCCCCACCATGATGTACGCGTGTATGTACACCGGACGTTTTACGAAAACGTGTACACGCGGAGTCTCAATACTACGATGTTATCACGGGCGACGGATCCCCGGCGAAAATCGCTGCGAATCCACGACAGCGGATAAAACAATTTCGTTTCATTTTCGCGAATTAAAAGGTTTGAGAGTATCCGCAAACGGTGCCGTTTCTTATTGTGATTTTTATTTTCGCACAATTAATGTCTCGAATTACCTTCAAAAGTAAATAAAACCGAGTTTACGTTTATTTGAGGTATTTTATCGTTCAACGACGGTCAAATGGCGTATTTTCGTGCGTTTAAGTCAATTTGTGAGAAATTGAGGAATTATTGTTTTCGTAGCTCCCGGAAGTAATCATCCTCACAGTGGAAAATGTTACTTTCTAAAATCAACACCTTTCTAACGCATTTATTTAGGTATCGCGTTTCGCTTCCTCGTTTCGCGCTAGTACCTGCGAGAGAAGTACCGTTTCTACGATTACAATCCACACGTTCGCTTCACTCTTGGGCCTAACCGGCGTCAAACGTCCCTATTAACGGTTATTTCGGTCGTTTATTTCAAAGATAATGAGGAAGATGTTGGCAGGGCTCGAGAGGAGGAAATTGTGTATACGAGAGTCGAGAGAGTGACAAATTAACTCGCGCCTTGACTTCCGTGAGATTCAAATCCTTCCTTCGCTTCGCAGATAGATCTCCGCGCGTATCACTAGAGGTGGAAAATCTTACGGAAATGCCGTTCGTCGAACAGATATAAAGTTTAAGAAGAATGTTTAACCTCCAATGTAGGAAACGTCTTTCGCAAGAAGAAAAATCTGCATATATTTTATCAAATCGTGCACCGCTAACTCTTTGATTCATCGAAATCAAGCGAAATACGATTTTTATATATTTTTATGTTATATATTAAGATCATCAAAAATTTTTAATATTATACTTTTGATAAATTAATGAAAAATAGAATCAAAATAATAATGTTAGGCTTTTTTATAGACGAGCAAATGAACGTTGTTTAAATTAAAAATTAAAACAATTTATTTCAATTTGCACGAACTATATCTAATTAATTATTATTAATGAAAAATGTATATTCCAACAAAATTATGTGAAATAATTTTACTTTCATCATGAAAAGATGTCGATATGATATAACACAAATTCAAAAATCGCGGAGATGTGTCCAATTAAAACGCTAATGTGTTGAGAAACGGCGGAAATGAAGCGGAACGAAGCTTTGTCGATAATTTTCGAGGCATGCGTCAATCATTATACCGTACTTCGAATGAAGATTGGATATTTATCTGAAGTCGACTCATCCTTAATTAACGTAACTGTGCGTGATATCAAGATGTGTACGAGCTAAGTATCGTGATCAGCAGATTTCTTAGACTATCCGAGATAATTTATATCGATTTATGTCTAAGCTTAAGTGAAGGAAAAACAAACTTATTGTTGATACTTAAAAAGTTCAGGAAAATTATGATCACTAATATTTTATCTTTTTATTTGTCACATTATAATAATCACTTGTTAAATATCTGAGTCGGAAAAATTTTGAAGACGAATGTAAAAGATTTTGAATAATAAATGTTTCCTAAATAGAAACGCTCAATCTTGAAATTTATTTATCGTAATACAGAACATGAAAGTGAAAATGCTATTCTATGCAAATTATAAAATAACATTCACAAATTGAAACATTATTTTTATTCAATCTCTATAAAAGATCTTAAGCGAACGTAACAGTATATGGTTATTTTTAATTAAATCCTGAATATTTTGATTATTTGATTATTTTATTATATTAAATGTCATTTTTTAATGAACGGATCCAATATTGCGATGAATGTATGCGCAAAATATATTCGCATTATTAAATAAAACAACGAAAAATAATACAAGTTTATGTATTGATTGACATACTTTCTCCGATTGACATACTTTATCAATATCAGACGTTTCAGTAAGAATAGTTGCGGAATGTAACGCGCAGTGTCAAAATCAGATGCAAATTATTATATTATAAATGACTGGAATTGTATTTATACGCACATTTGAAGCTTTTAATATAGAAATGGCAATGTATTAATTCTCAGAATGTGTTGTAAGTTCGATAAGAAGACACGAAGAGTTTCGTCCGCGTATGTCCATCACACGTATGTGTCAGTCGGTTGATATAAAACTGAAAACGTAACGCGTTATGACAGACAGGCGATCGCATCGTCAACAATGTGTTAATGATCGTAACAGTATCCGATATCCGGTAGATATTGATGACCAACGATCGATTCTGCATTCGCACCATTTATGCGGAGATATGCTTGTCGAGTGAAACCAGAACAACGATCGACCATTTTTCTTGTCGGACGTATTTTTAATTACGAAGCGGTCTGTGTGTGTCGCTTTTTGCAAAACCTCCACGCTGGGCGGCCGAACGCACCACGAATCTTGTTTCTCTGCCCGGATTTCCTTTTATCACTTTCTTGCGCATGTGCTACCTATGCGATTATTCACGGCTCGTCATTCATACCTGATCAATAAGCTACTAGTTAATTGCACATGCCGCGGTAGAACGAATTATACGTCAGAGTTTAACATTCCAACTGGGATACGTTCGTCTGGTATTAATTAGCGCAACGCTATATATCGAATGAATCTGATCTATTCCAAACTAGATTAAATGGTCGTCGAGCTTTCTTGCGAATCGAGTGCTCATTTGAAATGGAAACGAAGCGCCCGAGGCAATTCCGCGTACGCTTCTTTTTTTCCCACCATTTAAACGTGGTATAAGTAAACGCATTATGTGGTATTCGAGATCCGAGGATGAGTTTGCTCTAAACTCGAATGATAAAGCATGTAAGCAAGAGCGCGCAAATTTCGATTCAATCTTATTTAATATCAGCGATATTTGCAAATCATATTTTCTGCTTTACTTATTCGCGCTCAGAAATCGGCGTGATAACGAAAGTTACAATCAACTTCGTTATATCTTGCTTAACTTAACGCGCATAATGGCTTCTAACACGAGATGTATATATATTGTAGATATGAACTCGAATAATCGATCAAAATCACCGAGAGGAGAGATTGGGCAACGAGGATATCGACCAACAGTTGAGGTAATTAGCGCATCGCTCACGATTCAATTAAGCAGGCTAGTTTTTTAAACGGCTTTTATATACGTGACGATTTCTACATGAAAATTCGCATGAACCTGCAAAATGTCATCAATAATCATCAAGCCTGAATCGTAACATCCGGACGAGAATAGTTCTCCAAATCGCTCGCGTCCAACTTCTTAGAGTCACGTTAGAGTCATTAAACAAACTTTCTCGCATTCTATAATTTCGATCCGATCGTCTTCTCATAAGCGAACTATACGCGAAACGAAGAAGAGACTCCTCTTCGAAGTCGAAGGATCCGTTCTCCGTCATCGGTCGTTGATCGCGTATGAAATGAAGAAAACGAAGTAAAATTATGCATGGTGATCCTTATAGCTCGCGAGAAAGCTCGCGTTACATAGCGAGTATAAGTGTGTACGTAAGGCATCTATTTTCTCGGAGCTCTCTTTCTTCGCCTCTGACGCACCGGCCCCGGGATATCGATATTGAAACGTAAAAAAGATTCAATCAGTCGCGAAGTTTCAGCGCCAATCAATCACTCCTTCCCTTCCCGCAACCCTTCGTCCGTTCAGCTTTAGGACGCGAAAGCTCCCTCGCGCGCGCAGCCCGCACTGGCGCGCCTGATCGCGACGACGACGCTAAAATGGCCGAGAGGGAGGCAAAGAGAGGGGTTGGTGCGACAGAGAGGCATCGATCAACCACGAGAATTGGAGAGAGAGAGAGTACTGTGAATGAGAGAGCAAGAATGCCGCGGGGCCGAGCGCGAGAGCGAGTCGGAGAATGAGCTTTCGGGTGCACGACGGAGTCGACGCACTGGAAGCTTACCGTGCTTGCGGCGGGAGCTTCAGTAGCCGCTCGTACGTCGACCGGAAAACTTTTCACGTTACGTCGTCCTTAGACGCGAAGCGCGCCATCGTCGGCGAGGGATCGCAGGGGGGCTCGCAACCCCTCGATCGTTCGGTGTCGATTCTTTTTTTTTTTCATCCGTTTTCGAGAGTTCGAGCCGCGTCAGCTCGTAATTCATCGAAAACTGAGCGCGGACAATCGTAAAAAATTAAAAAAAAAAAAAAAAATTGAAGAAACAGAGTCCAGGAATATATAGTGCAGTGTGTCTCTCTGAATCAATGAATCGTCTGCCGTCGACGGATCTCGTTGGAGCCTGAAAGTGTCGATATGAAGGCAGATCTGTGACGGATGAATGAGCGCGCGCGCGTGTATATGAGTGCGTAATCGAGACGAGAGCATATCCAAGCATCATGCAAAGTGTCGCGGGATACCGAGACGCGCGTTCTACCCTTTCCGCGACGCTTCTTTGCATTCTTCTTGTCGCCGTTACCGGTAAGAAGTTGAGTCGCGTTATAGTGAGATATGGTGGAGATTTCATTGTTGTTCAATTTTTCAACTGAAAATCTTTTAATCCCTTGATATATAGTTTTAAACTCGTAGGAATTTTGTTGCGCGCCAAATGTGTTTCGAAAATAATGGGTGAAAAAAGTATTGTCTCGTTAGACGCACTGAGAGAAATTCGCGTGTTTTGATCAAACAAATCGGCAGGATGATACATTTGATCGATTGGAAGTGTCTACACCGCGCTGCCGCAAAAAAACAATTCGCAGCTATGTGGAAGATGAAAATCAATTGATCGCACGATATTACTTCGATAAATTGTATTTGTTAACGTATAGAGAGCGGTAAAAAGAAGCGGTGAAAGAAGCCGATTTAACTTCGAGCGGGATCTAATTTCAAGTTCTGAGAAAATACAAAAAATGCAGTTTTGCGTAAAAGAGTAGAGAGGGAGAGACAACAATGTCGGATTTTATACGGGGACCAGTTGCCAATGGTCCCACAGTGGATTCACGATCGAAAGTAACAAAAAGCCCGATTTACCGTGAAATACGCACGTTTCTTCAACAATTGCGCTCAATTCTCCCTCGCAAATGGAAAAAGCGGATACATATAGTCGTAAAAATCGAATGTTTAGGAGTATCTCGTAAGGGGCGGTTCGAGAGAAAGTACCTTCGGGGAAATGTCTCTATTCCCCTGCTCGACCGAAATTGGAGGGCGGGTCAAAGAAGTTGATTCGGAACAAGTTTTCTGGTGTTTTAAACAAAGCAAGCGGTAGTCCCGATTCGTTCTCCAAACACGCCCGGATCATGGTAGTAAGGACCGAAGTTCGGGAAAACGGTTATAGAGTCTGAGCCGCGGAGTCGCGCTTCACTTAAGAAGACTCCATAAAGCTACCTTCCCCGGATTGGGATAGAACGGGATACAGAGAAGGGGAGGAGACCACTCTTTCCCGTCCGATCGCGCATTCGATTTCGTGAGCGTAGCCGAGGATGATCCTCGTTCGATGACCGCGCCTGCCGTTCGATCCTTTCAAGGTAGCGACGCGATACGCGAGATGAGAAAAACTACCGAAGCAAACTCTCCTTCCACGTCGAAAGATCGGTATGTCGGATCTAGTGAGTCATCGCGATTTCCGTCCTTTTGTCCACGGCAAACCAATTGACGGATAAAATTAGATGCCTTTTGTATCGTTTTAACAGGAATAGAATGGCAAATATCCGGTCACGTATACACATCGTGCGAAAATTTCTGGTAATGAAATCGTGTTAAGAGAGTAAGCAGGGATTAAGAATCAATACGGAACGATATGTATAAGTGAGCAACAAAGGATCTAAGTGTTTTTTTTTCTTTGCGACGCGACTTATTAAGTCACTTAACAGGAATTTTTGTAAAAAGTTTGGTAAAAATTAGGAAGCGAGCAAACGACATTTTAATGGGGATAAATGATGCGTTAAATGCGCACTGAAACGAGCGATTTAATTGCTTTTTAAAGTGTTGACGAAAAGATGTCGATGAAGAAAAGCATCTTGAATAAAACTTGAACAAAACGCTTGTGAGAAAAAATTCATAACGATCATTACTTTGATATCATAATTCATTCTTACAATTAGATATTCTCTCTTACTTCTTATACTTAGTGTTACTGCGGTTCTCTTTCATGAGGATTATTAACCCGTAAAAAGTTCTCTTTATTTCTTTCTCTATGGTTTTATTTTAAACATGTTCGCCTACTTATATTTTACTATCACATATCATTCGAACATTATCGCTGTTTAATGTTAATAATCGAGATACAAAGGATTCTATTAATCGCGATTAAAAATGAGAAGTTCGATAAAATTGAATTATAAAAGGAAAAAAAAGGTGAATTGAAAATGACTGCTCGTGTGTGAGCTAAGGAGAGCTACAAACTTAAATTGCAATCAAAAGGAAACACGTAAAACTTACTTCTACTCTAACTTTGTAATGTAGTAAACGTTAATCAAACTACACCCGGCGCGCAGGAACCATTCCGCTGAAGTGTGACAGTCGTCGGAACTATTAAGCTACGTGGAAGAAATGATTCTCTGCAAACTTACTGCATTTCTTGCACGCGATCTTTACGAATCGCTACGAGAGTTATTCCGTAGTATAAAAAAGAAATCGTCTACCTTTAATTTATTTGCTAGGACGTTTGCTCGCGTTTCGGCTCTGTAGGTCTATGTAAATCTGATGAAATCACGTGAGAAAAACGGCGTTCCCTACCGAACCGTGTGAGAATATAAGAAAACTTAACTGTTTGCCAGAGAGGTTGAATTCTTTTAGTCGGTAGTTCGAGAGAGATTAACGAAGGGCCACGCGCGCGCGCGCTACTTGATCTAAATCATTACCAAGCCGTTTATTCATCCACGCCATTTGCCTCGAAAACGCGCTGGAAAATTAACTCTCCATCCGCGGATCCGTGAAAAGAATCCAATATTGATTTTAAACTGTGCCGGCAGTTTCGATAAGGATATCGTCTCAGAAAAAAATTAATATAATATAAATTCGTGGAATGTGGAATACTATGCAAATATAAAATGAGATCGCCTATATCGAGTAAAAAATGATAATCTGATTACCGCTACTTTGCATTTATTAATCCATTGCATGATACTTGTCTGATCTAATACTCCTATTATATTCGACGAATCCCAGAACAGAACATTTTCATAATTTGATTCAATGCAATGACTATCATCAATTTATCATCGCACACACATGCGAATATTTGTAACGTACTTAGTATATCTTGATCGACGGAAACGAAAGAAACGTGCTTATACAATGAATCTTGATTTTGTGATTCATGATTATAAAGAGCAAAAGAATTAAAAGGGCTGGAAAAAGTGATAATTATGATAACAGCAGTGCATTGCAAATTGATTAATATATTATATCGTAATATACTAAATACTTAATCCAAATTTTATTTATTTTTTATTTTCTTGCAATATAAAATGCTACATTTTATTAGTTTATTATTCGATCACTGATTGAAGAACCTACGCAGAGAATGAAAGCGAGTTTAAAATCCATTGCGTTTAAATTCATATTAACCCAAAACTATCGACGAAAGGAAAAAGCAATTGAAGAAAAATATTTTTATCGTGAATATTTTATGCTAATTTTATCATCGCGTAAAAAAGTGATATCTATGCGTTCTAATAAAGACCACACAATCTACGAAATGTAGTTTGAGTGTCATTAATAAATGTGAATTATTAATTTAATTTAGCACACACGGGGACTCTTGTCGCGATTATCCAACAATTGGAGCTAAGATTTATAGCGATCCTTCTGCGATGAAGATATTATATATAAAATTTATATGAAATTCTCTTATATAATATCGCACGAGCTACTAAACATACAACAATATAGCATTGCTTCCATAATCGTCCAGTCATCATAAATTATTTTATTTAATCTCACGCTCTAATGTTGATCAGATTGGCAAGACAGTGTACGAATATTTATAAACGTTGTAAATTTAAAATTGTGTTTACGACTTACAGAGAAAATGGTACACGCTAAACATATTGCACCATTATTTGCAAACTCGCGATATGCAGAACTTTATGCATAAAGAAGTACTTAAATTATACAGTTTTATTTGAGATATATTACTTTATTTCACAATCAACAAAAATGTAATTTGATGTTTTTTTTTTGATATGGCAATCGATTAAATATATCTAATATTAATTATATTAACAAATGTTTTAAGGAACGCATAGTTAGTACCTTTAATATATATTATTCTTCGGTATCAAGAAATGCAATTATTTTTATCAAATAAAATATCTCTGTAAAATATAACACGTTTCAGTATATAATTATGATATGTGTGTTAAGATAGATCTTTTTTATGACTCTGTACAATATATTATCTATAAATTTAAAAACTTTCGGTTTTTTTATTACTTATTTTATTAGTTATTTATTACTTTATGTAAAATCAATATCGTGAGTAATTATTTCGTAAGTTATTTATGTTATCTGGCGATCTAAATAATTCCCGTGTATATAGCTCTAACAAGCTTTATATCCTATTTATTGATTTACTCCGGATACTTTACATAAATTAAATTTTTCTTCCTGAAGAATGCAATTATGTATTGCAACTTTTTCTGATCCCATGCGCGCACATAAGATAAATCTATATTCTATCTATAAATACCTAAGAGTAAAAAATTATATACCTATGTAAAGAACGAGTAAACACATAAAATTTAAATGAGATACGACGTTTTTACAGTTTCGTAATTCCTTCAATTTTTATGTTGAAAAATTCTTTGTGCAGCGGATAATAATCCATTTTGCTTGCTTTCAGCGTATTCGCAATTTGTCGAGTCACTTGCGTCATACATGGCGATAATTTTGCGGTTTAATAATTAAAATTGGATCAGAATGTGAAAAAAAGGCTCTCCTTTATATGGTGCGTCCCTTATGCCTCCTGTCCGATTTTCGTAACGGTATAATTAAAGTGTCACGCGAGAGAAGTAATGTTGATAGGGTGTAAAAGTAAGAAGACCGAAGTAACGGGCGCATGCCTTTGTTCTTCGGCATTGGAGGGCGGCAGCAAGGCGAGCTTAGCTGTGAGAAATTAAGCAATTAAGCCGCGTATTTTACTACTCGCAGATCCGAGGTTCAGCCAACTCTAGTCTTCCGATCTAGACTCGCTTCGCTGAAACCGTGAGTAGAGGATGTACACCCGCGTTATTAAGATATCACCCATACCTGCGGACGCGGACTATTTTAAAAGAAAGCAAAGGCCAAATGAATGTGAAATTCGATATAAATGGCATTGCATTGCAATAGTTTGGAGAAAACTCCAGCTAATATAATTATTAAGTTGGTTTTTCAAAATTTGGAATAATTAATCTGTGTAATTACTGACTTTGAAGTAGTAAATACATTTGTCTTTATATGAAGAATTCTTACGGAAAAATGTAATTAATTTTTATTAT